AAACCAATTGAATTATTTAATTCCTACAACTGAGACTCCACAACGACAACACCAGACAATATTCCACTGTGTCCAGAATTCCATCCCTGGGACACGACAATATATTGCAAATTATTACAGTATTCTATAATTATATTATATAAATGTTCTGTTTTAACGCAATGAGCCAGATGTTTTTTTTTATTGCATAAAACTTTCAACTTCCTTTCCTCAACCGTTAATAATTAGAATAATCATAAAATATATTTTAACTAATATGTAAAACTCTAAATTTTTCTACATTCATAGTTTAATTCCAGAACTAATTATTTTACATTTTAAATTATGTTTTGTAGCATATCTCACGGATATTTTATATTAATAGTTGCGAGTTGGTTTACTTTATCGCATTATTTAAAGTTAAATATTTTACGGACACGAAGTCAGTGATAAAATGAAACTGAGATTAATAAGTCTGTTTGTGTTCGTTGCAAGCGCCGCAGAAGCCGCTCGGATTCTGGCCATCTTTCCGATTCCTTCTTACAGTCATCAAGTGGTATACCAATCCATTATGAAAGAATTAGCAATTAGAGGTCACGAATTGGTTGTTATAACAACCGACCCAATCAAAGAACATTTCAGCAATATGAAACAAATCGACGTGAGTTACGCCTACAAAATTTGGAACAAGCACAACTTCACGTCCATGGTTAAACGGAGTTACAAGAACCCTATCGAACTAATTAAAACGACCATTGATATGTTGAACGATATCACCGTGTACGAGTTAGAACATTCGGAAATCCAGAATTTGATTGTAGATACACGAGAACAATTCGATTTACTAATGATCGAATACTTGTCCCCTACGTTCTTCGCGTTCAAGCACCGATTCAACTGTCCGATGATCGGAATATCATCATCGGATACAAGAGACACGGGGCACTGGGCTGTTGGAAATCCAGTTCATTCCGTTCTTTATCCCGATGATTCTATATATTTTAAAACGGAAAAGAATAATTTCTTTGATCGATTAAAACGTTTTTTATTTGCACATATTATACAAATATTCTTGGAAATAATTCAAAATCCTATATATGAATCGACGAAAGTGAAATATTTTGGAAACAGCTATCCACTTTTGAGGGATCTTATGTCTTCAATTGATATGCTTTTTATAAATACAAATCAAATTTTTCACACCATTAGACCATTGACACCAGCTACCGTTACCATTGGCCCGTTCATTCACATAAAACCACCAGTGAATTTGCCAGAAGTAAGTTGATAACTGATCTACAATTGAAACTTAACTAATGCTATTTTAAGGAATTGAAACTATTTTTGGACGAAGCCAAAGAGGGAGTCATTTACATCAGCTTAGGCTCAAACATGAAGAGCAAAGATATTCCGGAGAAAACGCGCGATATTATTTTGGAAACTTTCAGCAAACTTCCATATAAAATCTTATGGAAATTCGAAGCGGAAACTCTACCCGGAAAACCTGATAACGTCAAAATAGTTAAGTGGCTTCCACAGCAAGATGTCTTAAGTAAAAAAATATTTTCAATTCAAAGTCCTTATATTATATTATATCATTTAATTTTAGGACACAAAAATATTAAATTATTTATTAGTCAATGTGGATTGCAATCGTTGGAGGAAAGTATGTACAATTACATACCCGTTCTCGGCTTACCTTTGTTTGCCGATCAGCCGAGCAATGCTTTTAAGCTAGAATTGAAAGGTTTAGGGTTAATCTTGGATTACAAAGAATTAACGGTTGAAAAATTTACATCCAGCATCAATGAAATTATCAACAATCCAAAGTGAGCAAACATTGTTTACATTGTTATAATTAAATACAAAAAAATATAATTCAGGTACAAAAACAGAGTCAAAGAGATAACAAATTTAGTCAAGGATGAACCACTGTCGGGTTTGGAGAAAGCAGTCTGGTGGACGGAGTACCTCTTGAGGAACAAAGGGGCGCAACATCTGAAAGGTCCCGCTATTGATTTTCCCACGTATCAGTATTACTACTTCGATATTTTTTCTTTATTCCTGTTTGTTCTATTTTTCGTATTATCGTTAAGTTATTTGCTAATCAAAAAGTGTTTATCAATGTTTGTTAAAAAGAGTAAACGTGATTAACATGAACTATAGCCTGTTAGCTTAAAATAGTGCTTCTAAAACTCGAAATGCTTCATTATGTTGTATTAAATTTAATTTGTTCGTAAATAAATCTTGCTAATCTCGTAGATTTTTATAATCTCAGTACATTTTTTAAAACATTCAATTATTCTCCAATTAAATCCGTGCATATGTGTGCCGCAGAAGTTTAACTAAGTTTGAGTTGTGTCGTGAAACAAAAATAGTTAAAAACACAGATGCTAGCGCCATAAAGTTACAGGGCTTTAATTACACCCCTACACTATTAATGTATACTAGAATTTTATTTAATTTTACTCAATTATGTATTTCTTTTTCTATATTTGTATTTTATTTTCTTCTTCTTCTTTCAATAATGAGCTTCCTTCTGGAAACCCCTTCCCATTTGGCAGGGTCCTGTCGACCCGTTTGCCAGTCGCTTGTGTATTTTATTTTGTAACAGTAGGCTATAATTTTCTTATATGTGACAACACTGGTTGCATACTAACTGAACTGTCCGAGGTTCGTCTGCATGTCTGGATTTCGCGTGCTTTGTGTGATGGTGCAGAATCTTCTTGAAACGTCTACTCTTTCTGACTGAAATATTTCGTTGCCCACGACTTCAGAGCACCTTCCAAAACTTTTTCGTGGTAGACATTCACATTAGCCTTAACACCACGGTGCATAAACACCAAGGGAGTGCGATCATCAACCGTTACAGCCTCCCAAACTACCACAAACGGTGGTGCTTGACTTCTTGTCGCCATTCGAATGACTAAATTTTCATTTGATCTTTCTTCTAATTAAATTCAATCATTTTTGTTTGTTTAATAATTTCTGAATTGGGAAATTTTTCTCATCAGACAAGACGATATTTGGCAATTGTTCGCGTTCGTGTAAGCCCAAGAACTTCTTCGTTCTATCGAGCCTAGTTATTTTTTTAACATCAGTGAGATGTTGTCTTTTTTGGAAATTGTAAGACTTCACTTTGAGATCGTTTTTTAGTATTCTTTGCATGTTTATTTTCAATATGTTCAGCAGAGTAGCCATTTGTCTTCCACTGCTTCGCGGATTTCATTGAATTCGTCTTAACTTTCCGAACCCCCTCTGCCACAGATGCAGCTTTTTCCGGCTACCAAAATAGCATTTTGTAACACTACTAGCTTCGTTATAACATGTTATGGTTCAAGATAGGATAGATTTATTCACATTGAGGTGGTCGAGGGCTCTAACAATAGCCGTTCATATTTTCCGTTCAAATATAGGGCTATCATACTATTACGTTTGAATTCCATCACAGATATTTTTTCCAAAAAACTGAGATGCAAATGCTTCCGCAAGCTTGTAAACAATAAAATCAACTATCACTAAGAGAAATATGGACACAACATTGGCAGCGGTTCGAAAGTTATAGCAATTTTAAATTTGTTTCAGTTAAATTGGGTCACACTGAAGATAACTCATAAATTTTAATTTTATTTATTTTTATTACGGGACTTTATTTTATGTTACTCTTTGCCGAATAAATTCAAAACTCTCCGAATAGAATGAAGACCAAAAGAACCGAAACATCTTTTCAAACTTTAGTAATAATAAACTTAATATATTATTGGGTTGGTACATAGTATTGCTCATCGCTAGCTATACATTTTTCAAAACTGGCGTTTAGACCAGTGGTTTTCAGCCTTTTTACGCACAACCCATTTGTGTATATCATGTTTTTTAAATATATATTTTTACTGTTGTAATTTCAGATGCATTGTTGCAGACAACAATGAGAACAAATCAAGTACCTTGAACTATTAGAGATAACGGTATTAAGGTTAATTTGTAGCCATTAATAACGCAACAAATCAGACTTAATTTGAGATAAAAAAAATAAGATTCATGATGATCTAAATCATGAGACATTATACAATATTTTATTTTCAATTAGTTCTAAACAAGCTCGGAGATGATTGGAAATCTTCTGCTACTGACATTAAGTTTCGGCGTGTCTGTGTATTCGGCGAGAATCCTCGGTGCGTTCACCACTCCATCCATCAGCCATCAAATAGTTTTCTTGCCAATCATGAAAGAATTAGCGGCCAGGGGCCACGAAGTGATCATAATAACGACGGATCCAATCAAGGAAGACGTGCCTCCGACGTTGAGGCAAATCAACGTGAGTTTCGCGTACAACTTATGGAATAACGACCTCGAAAATATAATCGAAGATACGAAGTACAATCCCGTGAAGCTAATGGACACTTTCATTAACGTTTTGAATGACATCAACAGTCGAGTATTGGAGCATCCGGACGTGCAGACTTTAGTACACGGCAATGCGGACAAATTCGATTTGTTCATCGTTGAATACTTAATACCCACCCTGTACAGTTTGAAGCACAAATTCGACTGTCCAATGATTGGAATTACATCCCTCGATTCGCCGTACGATGGTCACCAAGCAATGGGCAATCCTACACATCCCATAGTGTATCCAGATTTCACGTTGCCTTTTGAGGACGTGAAGTTGAAATTCTTCGATAGATTGACCAGTTATCTGTTCATGCAATTCTCGTATATATACGACATGGTTAAGTTCATTCCGCTGCAAGAGGACACAAAAAATAAGTACTTCGGGAAGGATTACCCTCACGTGACAGATGTCTTAAACTCCGTCGATATGCTCTTCATAAATACGAACCATATCTTCCATAACATCAGACCACTCACTCCTGCCACCATTTCCATAGGTCCGTTCATACATATAAAACCACCTAAGCCATTACCAAAGGTAACAAATCAATTTTAAACAATTACAACAATTTAACGTCGATTATTTTTGTTATATTTTATTAGGATTTGAATAAGTTTTTGGATGACGCGAAAGAAGGATTCATATATTTCAGTTTAGGATCAAATATGAAGAGCAAAGACCTCATGGAAAGCACGCGCTTAAGCATTCTGAAGACTTTTGCCGAATTACCATATAAAGTTCTGTGGAAATTTGAGTCCGAAGATTTACCGGGTAAACCTGAAAATGTTAAAATCCTCAAATGGGTTCCACAGCAAGATGTCTTACGTAAATCACATCATAATCATATATACAAAAAGATAATTTAATATATATTTTTAAGGACATAAAAATATCAAGGTCTTTATCACGCAATGCGGTCTTCAATCGCTAGAAGAGGGTCTGTTCAATGAAGTTCCATTCATTGGTCTTCCCGTATTCGGCGACCAACCGATGAATGCGGTCAACATGGTCTCTAAAGGGCTGGGTGTAAAATTGAACTACGAAAGTTTAACATCGGATCAATTCAAAGCAGCAATTTTAGAAGTAATCGGAGATCCTAAGTGAGCATTGCTTTTATATACACCAAATAAACTAAAAAATATAACGTGTGATCATTTTTAAATTTAGATACAAGAAACGTGCGGAGGAATTGTCCAGGATTTCAAAAGATGAGCCGATGACGGGTATGGAGAAAGCCATTTTCTGGTCGGAGTACGTGATCAGGAACAATGGAGCTCAGCACTTGAAGGGAGCAGAGGGAAAAATTCCATTATACCAATATTATTATTTAGATATATTTGTGTTCTTAGCTTTCATCTTCTTCGTACTGGCATCACTGACTTACCTAACATGCAAGTTACTGATATATGCATCGAGGAAGCTAAAACTAAAATCAAAAAGTGATTAATTATCTGACTAATTTATAATATCATAAAAATAATGTAAGTTCGTTTCAAATTAAATTGATGTTATTTTCGTATTTCTTATAAATTATCTCAAACACTGTTTAATAAGTTTAATGACCTATTTCTATGATAATATAAACTATTTTACTTTACAGTGCGATTAATAAAATACATATTTCTTGTCGGGAAAGCCAACAATGATAATAATATAATTATTAAATGTTAATTGATTCCTTAAAGATTAATTTATTCAGTAAATAACAACACAAGTTTTTCATTTGAAAAATTATTGCATCTTTTTGATGACTATCTTCAGAACTTGAGCACTTCTACATAGGTTTTAAAACTGTTTAGTCAATATGTTTGATATTTACGATAAACCTACTAAAAATCTATTACAATATGTATCTCACTCTGCGTTTCGTGAAGTTAAAGCAAAAGAGATAACATGCTGTATAATTTTTCTAAAACTCCATGATAATACTGCAATACGAAAATATCGGTTAATCGGTTCCGTTGGTATTGCTTATTATTTAAAACCGGACTAATCCAGGAACTAAATATCCCAGCACTATCCCTTATTATTTGAAACCGAATTGATTGAAAAAATAAATATAATTGAAACAAATATGGACAGAAAGACCTATGGTCATTAGCCCTTTGTATCAATTTGTTTTATATTTTAGGTATGTAGTATGATTTACACAAAAATAGTTTTGTGTACATTTTTTTTAGAATTTTTCACATCTAGATTTTTAATGATCGGAAAATGATAGCTGTCTCCTACTCTCTTCGGTACATTCACTTTTTTTATAGAATTTTATTTTTTAAACAATTGGGTGGTATTTTTGTAATTACAAACAATTATAGATTCATAGTGTACAGGTGGCCGATAAAAATTTGTAGGAGTTACCAAAAATTTGCTAGTTTTATACGAATTTTCAAACACTCTAAATCATCAAAGAAACATTTATCCATCGACCTGAGACTGAAGAGCCACAGTCATTTCGCCCTCATATAAATTAACAATAATATTATACTCACTCTGTCCGGAAATATGGTATACATTTGAAAGAAAATCTTAGATTATCTAGAGTTTTGAAAGCAACTGGCAATACTTAATATATTGGTATTATTTTCATTGATAGCTAAATAATCTAACATATTTGAAAGTCGTTGCTTTTGAGTTAAGTTGAAATTTTGAAGACCAAAAATTAGTTTTTTAAAAAAAATATAATAGTCACCGCTGTAATTTCAGAATGAAATATTTTAACTCAAATATCACGAAATTACGAAGAAAAGATGACAAATCGCAGCAATTGACTAAAGGTTCTACTGATGGTTAGAATATTCAATTTAAGTCACAACCACCGTCGATTTAAACGTTCTCGATTTGTTTTTTTTTTAACTTTTTATTCTACTATAACATAAAGTTTTGGCAAACACAGTTGATGAATTGATTGAATGTGTTCAAGATGCATTTAATAAATTACATAGAAATACTATTGATAACGCTTTTATAACTACAAACGTGTATGGAAATTTCTATAAATTATTTAAAATGAGTCGTGAGGGTCGATTAACTGAAAGGTTATGTTCAAAAAAAGCTTTAACGAAATTTGGATTACAAATAATTTTATTTTAGTTTGATTTGATTTTTTTCGCAAATGTATACCATATATTCGGACAAAAAAAAATATTAAAATGTATACCATATTTTCGGACAGAGGGAGTTTAATAATAAATATAATATAGAAAATTAAAAAAAAAATAAGAGAACCAATCATTGTGGGATTTGTAGTTATTTTAAAATTGAGAAAGATAGAAACTTCAGCACTCCGCGGTTCTCGTTCCTGAAATTACGAAAGATCGACTCGCGGTTTGAATCTCCGGCACAGAATTTTCTTATCAAGTTGTCTAAACCAGCGGTTCTTAACCTTTTAGTAGTCGCGGCCCACCTTAATATCCTAAAATATATTCGCGGCCTCCTTAAAATGTTTCCACTGTCCACCATTTTAATATAGTAATTTTATTGTATCAAACATCATTGTGGGTTGTTGATAAATGTATATTAACCCATTTATTATAAGGAATATCCACAATTTTCTGCTATCAAGTTCATTATTTGGAAAATATTAGACAAATTTTTCAATTAATTTTTGAAGAAGACACTGAATTAAATAATGTGTATGTTCTTTAGCAAATTCAAAATTGTCTTCAATACAATGAGAATAATTTAGAAACATTTGATTCTATTCTTCGAATGCATTTACGGAAACATTTTAAAATGGAGAATATGTTTGTCAAGTAAAAAAGTATTGCAATCCATTTGATTATAGTCGAAATTAATGGCCGAAATCGCACGTGTCGAAATCGAAAGTATAAGTTTTTGATTTTCTACATAAAAACTATTTCGATTTGTAAAGATATCAAAACCTAAAAATTTGTAATAATATTTTCGCAGTCCCCCTAGATACTCTTAGCGGTCTCCCGGTTAAGAATCGTTGGTCTAACGATCGGTCGGCGAACCGGGGTAAATT